AGCGGCCCGGCGGACTGAGGCGCCGTCCGCGTAGGACACCTGCCGGCGGGGTGCCGGACCGCACCCCGAAACCGAGCTCTGCCGCTTAGAGCGAGCCGGCGGGTGGGCCCTCTACGCGGGGAGCAGCTACTGGGTCAGAACCACCGGCTTTAACGCTGCGCTGGAAAACCTCGAACTCTTCGCTTCCGACCCGTCGTGGCGGTCGAATCGGCCCATTGGGGCGCTGATGGAGTAACGGAAGCGGGTGGCCTCGTCTTCCCCTGTTGGGGCAAACGGTGGGTTCGAACTGCGACCTTCTGGGGGCAGCTGAGCGCCTGCTACTGAGCCACCTGGGCGTCATTCTCTTACCTAGCGGGGTGCTTTGTTGTAGCATTTCCCGTCTTCCACTGTTTCTCCACCGCACAGTAGGGCCACCTGGCCAGGGGCAGGTCTTTGAGATCCGTCCTCCTCCACTACCACGCTGCCACAAGTCAGCCTTCCCAACGGACAAAGGCGGCAGAGGGCTTAGTGTCCATGACCCTGGATCTGACTGCCTTGGGAAACGTGTTGGCAAAGGTGTCTGTCTTTCTCTTCCCATTTTTGTGAAGCCCGGGGGCGTGGTGGGCCAGGCTCTGGGTCACCTGGCCCAGAAGTTCTCAGCTTTGTATGTTCTGTGACATCCACCTGCTCGAAGGGCGCCAGGTGACTGATGATGTGTAAGTGTGACATCCACCTGCTCGAAGGGCATCGCAGGTGACCAGGTGACTGATGATGTGTAAGTGTAAGGTGTGTTTAAGTGAAGTGTGCTGTGCCCTGTGCATTCCAGGTGCATCCATGATTGCATCCTCAGCAGAGAGGGGATGGGGAGAGGTATGGGGGCTGACCAACTGTCGGTTTCCCACTTCCTACCTTAACACTGTATAGTGGCCAGACCCGGTGCCCAGAGCCAGCCCTCCATTGAAACCGGCCCCTGGCTTGGTGTGTTTTCAGTGTGACCACTGCCCAGGTGGGATGGGAGTGAGGTTCTCTGGTTGGAATGAGCCTAGGCCAAGGCTAGACAGTGAGGACTCCGCTGGTTGGTGTCTTCCAGAACGGTCTGCTGACTAGAAAACACTTGCCATCTTCCATCTGGAGAGAGTCTCAGCTGAGCCCGGCCTCTGCTAAAGGAATGAGTGGTGGGGAAGGGCAGCGGCAGGGGAGGAGGGCTGAGGAAATAAATGCTCCCGGGGTGAACTGAGAGGCTAAAAATAAAGGCCCGGAGTTCCCTGGCTGCGCCTGGTGAGGAGGCGTCGGGGAGAGACTAACCCAGAGACTTCTCCATGCCATAGCCGTGTCCTGCCCTGCTTTGAGAGGCAAGTTACCCTTTTCTGAGGTCTGAGAGGATCCACGTAACTCAGGCCATGTGATCCGAGGAAACTTGACTGCCCAAGTCAGTTTCCTGCAGCCTTGCAGGGACAGCGAGGCTCACTTTGTGGATGGAAACAGCTGGGGGGACTGATGCACACGTTGACCAGAAGTTTAGGTGTGTGATTTCGTGAGTGAACGTAACCCATGATTGCTCAGGATGCTGGCAGCCATTTACCCGTTTGAAACCACCATCCACTCCGTGGGCGAAAGATGGGACCTTTACCCTCAAAGAATTACAGTCTTAAAAACTCACAGGGCAGTCCTATAGGGTCACTGTGACTTGATGGCAGCGAGTTTGGTTTTCTGGTTTGGGGCAGTGTTAGGAGTTCGAGTGGTATAGTGGTTTCTCGTTGGGCTGCTAACTGCAAGGCCAGCAGTTTGAAGCTACCAGATAGATGTTCTGTGGGAGAAAGGGCTTGCTACTCCCACAGGGGCAGCCTTACCCTGCTAGGAATTGGCATTGACTCACAGCGGCGAGTTTTGTTTTGTTTTTAAGAGTTTGGTCCGTCCTCCAGCTTCAGGATTTCGGCTATTTGTCCCAGCACACGGCAGCGTCCCAGCATATCCCCTCTGATTCTTTCGGGTGACCTGCCTTTGGATCTGTACTGCGTCTTTCAAAACAAATTAGACCAAAGATTGGGGGAGTTCATAGACTTCCTCAGAGTAGCTGGCTTTAGGATCTACAGGTTTGATAGCTTTGTTGAACTGAATCCTGATACATGTTTTCAAAAACTTGTTCTTGAAAAATGGGAGGGCTTTGGGTTGGATGAATTAGCCGTTTTGTTGCTTGGGCTTCCCTGGCCTTTGGTACCAGAGGCGTGGGTCCCTGTCAGTTAGCTGCTCCTTCTTGGAGAGAGGATTTACCAGGGGAATATGCACAGTTGAAATCTTCCCATGAACCCCTGGGCTCAGCCACCCTGTGAGCTGCACCCCGAGTCTTGCCCGAGAACCTCTGGTGGTTACTGTATTCGATTTGGGTAGACAGCTTGCTGGCAGGCAGGTAATTACATCTCTGAGATTGAGAGGGCTCACTCGAGTGGCTGCAGATGGACAAACAGACAGACGGCTTGGACAGGTTTCCAGGGGCAGCTTGGGTTGCTATGGGAAGGGATGCTGATTTAACGTAGATTAAAAGTGCTCCCTGCCCTCTTATCCAAAGTCTCTACTTCGTGCGACTCCTCCCTCCGCTAGTGCTGAATCGAGTCAGGAGGTGGTTCTCTGGAGGCTGTCATCTTGTGCTTCTGTAAGGGGTGACTTTGCCCCAGTGAGCGAGGGGCCAGTGGATGGGTAGGTGGTGGGGAGTGGTGTGTGCTGCTCTGCTACTTGTAAGAAGGTTGTCAATGGTGTCGGTATGATTGGTTTCATCTGGGCCTTGGTTTCCATCCTCCCCAGCTGTCTGTCGGCAGGGCTGTGTGACCCTGTCTGCCCTGGAGTTTGACCTCACCTGAGCATCTTGCGGCCTGGGAGATGGTGGGTTTTGTCTGGTGAAAAGCACAGAACTGTCCTTTTGTGTCCCCTCTTGGTGTGCCCTGAGGCTAGTTCTGGCTGCTGTGGCTGTGAGCGGTAGAGCCTCGTGGGTCCGACCGAGTTGGGGGCTCGAGGGTGCTTGGTGCTCGGTTACTTGGAGTGCTTTGTGCTTTTCTCTTCTTCTATGAGGGGCCAGGGATTTTACACACTGTCCCCAATCCTGCTCAGCACTGGGGCCCAGCCCTCTTGGGGCGGACATTTCTGGCAGGGAAGACTGCAGGGGAAGCAGTGGTGAGAAGGCATGGAGACTTTAACGGGTGGAGAGGAAGTTCTGCTGGCTAGGTGACAGGTTCCTAACTGAGATGAGTCCTGTCCCAGTAAGGCGGGCCAAAAAGAGTGGGAGGTGGCCAGGGGCTGGGCCACACAGGGCCATCAGTCTCAGGTATGGATGGCCCAGAAGAGGGCGGGGCAGGTTGGGAGGAGGAGCTGGCGCATGCTTGGCACTCCACTGCCTGGAGGAGGAGGCAGAGGGTTTGGGCTGGGACAGGAAATGGTTTTTACTCTCTGCTTAAGAGCCAAGGCCTGGGCCACCCTCTTGTAGGGCTCTGAGGGAGCCAGCCATGGTGGCCTGGTACTGCTCTGCCTGTGAGCTTTGTGTACCTGCTGCTACAGGTGACACAGGTACTGCCACCTGCCCTGCTGTTAATCACGCAGGGGGAAGGGAGGCCCACATGAAGACCCGTAGAAGGACGAGCTTTTAGTATAAATAAGGCCAGGGGTGCCCAGACCAGGACCCTGCTTCCCACCAGACCTGTATCCGTTGTAGACTGACAATTTATATGTTCTTTTTAAATGGATTTTTGGTAAATGTCGAAAAGAAAACTCAAGCCAAACCAAGGCCACTGCCGTTGAGCAGATTCCAACTCGGAGACCTCCCAGGGCAGAGTGGAGCAGGGCTGCCCCAGGTGGGTTTCTGAGGCTAAATCTTGACTGAAGCAAACGGCCACACCCCTCTCCCTGGGTGGCTGTCATGCCAACCACTGGCCTTTTGTTCTTCAGGGAGTGGCTGCATGTCCTGGGAACCTCTCCTCTGTCTCCTGTGTCTGAGGAACTGGATTTTAAACACAATGGGAAACTAATTTTAGCCAAATTTCAAGGCAGGCTGTGAGGCCAGGGTCCAGCCTCCCCCCTTGTGTTAGGGTTTGGAAGTGTGCAGGATGGCTCTGTGGACGGACTGGGAGGGGTCCTGTGATTCAGAGGCGTGTTCACCTCAGGCTGCGGGTGCTGCACCGGGTGGGTTCACTTTCCTGTCGCTGGGTCTGACCCGACAACACACGCTCACTCTGTGATGCCGGAAGAACAGCTCCCTGTGCAGACCTTTGTGGGCAGGTGGTCCGGTTGCCCGGATGTCCACGGGGAGGGTCCTGGTTCTCCTTGTACTGGGCTGCTCACCTGCCCCTCCTGCCAGTCTCCTGAGCAGAAATGGGATCCAGGGGCGCCCCAAGGCTGAGCAGACCAAGACCCCTCAGGTAGAAGGGCTGGACGGCTGTGCTCAGGCCTCTGTGAATGAATGCAGGACTGTGGGCCCACCCCCTGCGGGGAGCGAGTGTGCACACAGGTTGCTGCCTTAGACAGGTAAGAAGTGCCCAGTCTTCTTCCATGTGGGTTGACCATGCCTTTCAGCAGTGTTCGTTTGAGATGGCCTGCTGACGTTAGATGTGCATTTCAGTGGTGTATCAAATAACTGGCTACAGAATTTAAAACTTTGTTTCTACATGAAAACAGTGGGTCTAGGAGGGAACTGAGCTGTCAGCCCCCCTCCCAGGGTCAAACTTGTCTGTTTGAACAATATTAGAGTGTGGTACAGTGGTTACGCAGCTGGACTGCAATCTACTTGGTCAGCAGTCTATAATCACCAGTGACTGTAGGAGAAAGACTGGGCTTCCTGCCCCAGTAAATAATGGGAAACCCACAGGAGGTTGCTGTGAGTCAGTATTGACTCGATGGCAGTGAGTTCAGGGTTTTTTGGAGGACCTACTCAAGCCCTGGTGGTGTAGTGGTTACATGTTAGGGTGTGATCCACAAGGTTGGCAGTTTGGAACCACCAGCCGCTCTGGGAGAAAGACTGCCTTTCTACTCCGGTAAAGAGTGACAGTCTGGGAAACACACAGGGGCAGTTCTACCCTGTCCCAGTGGTGAGTTGTGACATTGGGTGCTCTCTGGCTCGTGGCTCATCAAGCCACCGCCCTGCACGACTTCCCTCCCCTGCAGAGGACAGGCTGTCGAGCAGCAGGCCGGGCCCCTTTTCTCTTACAGAAGCCGAGGGCACTCCTGCCTGCCTGCCTGCCAGGTGGGGAACTGAGAGTGCCTCTCGGTCACGCAGCTCAGGAGGGAGAGTTGGGGTGTTGGGATTCACCCCAGCCGACGCTTTGCTGCTGTCTGGACGGATTTGTTCCCCTGGTTTAACTTAGTTTTTCTGTTCCCCATGTAGCACTTTTAAAAGAAACCTTATTGTGAATCGGGTGACGGCTTACAAAGAAGATCAGCAGTTTTACATTCATTTCACAGATAGGATTTCATGTCATTGAGCATAACTCCACCCCCTAGTGTACTGCCTCTTGCCCCCTTCCTCCCTGCATTTCCGTCCTCTGCCTCGCCAGACCCACCTGACCCTGGTCCCTGGGCACCCGCTGCCCTTCTGATCTCTCTCAGGTGGTGGCTCTTGGAAGGCATGTGAAGCTCCCCAGTGTGTTCACCTTGTCTACTGTGTGGCCAGCAATAAAGCCACTGGGTTGTGTTCCTCCCAGGTGTGAAGGGGGTGGGGGCCACACGCAACCTTGAGCAGCCCACGGGGTGTCTCCAATCAGCAGGCCTGTGAGGTTTGTTGTTTTAGGGTTTTTCAGCTTTGCTCCCTATTTTCTCCCACTCTGTTCAGAACCTTCTCATGGGACCCTGTTCAGAACAGTCAGGGCAGCTGGGGGCTGAGGACTGGTGTCTGCGCTGTCCCTGCGTGCGTTGGACTGGCCGTTTCCATGTGCTTCACTAGTCAGCCCTCTCCTCTGCTCAGAGAGACCAAACGGTGTGCCTCACACGACCCCTCAAGAGTTCTGAAGACCCCAGTCGCTACTCCTGACTTTGCCCCGGGGCCTCGCACCACCTTCTTGGCTGCATTTGGTAGATATCCATGTACAGCACTCTTCCGTCAACCCTGTGTGGACCCGCGGGTGGGCCCTGCTCTCCTTGGCACGTCAGTCTGCATCTGCTTGAGGCTCACCTGGCGGCAGGCTGTGTGTCACGGCATCGCCTGCTGCTGCCTGCACCTGTCCTTCTTCCCTTCCCCTGTGTCTTTCCTGGCCTCCGTCAGTTGGGGCGACCTCCTTACTGTGTATTGCTTTCTCCTTCACTTTCAACAGGTAACTCTTGTCCACCTTTTGGCCACAACTCTCCCCACCCCCGCCTCCTGCCCTGGTAACTGTCGTAGGTGTTTCTTTTTGGTGTGGGAGCCATTTCTTGCCGTTTACAGTGGTGGTCTCTCTCAGCATGGTCCTTGTGTGATGGATGAACTTCACTCACATGATGTCCTCAGACCTGTCCTTAACTGTGCTGCTGCCCTGGCAGGTCAGGTCCAGCCTCCGCTCTGTGGGCTGGCCTTGGAAGGGTCACGTCCTCCCCTGCGGCTGGCACTCGGGCTGCTTATTCCCTGATCCGCAGCCCTGGCTGTGTCGGCTGGCTGCCTGTCCACGTGGGAAGAGTGTCTGCCCGCCATCTGCCGTCTCGTGGTCGTGTCAACATACCACAGTACTTGAGGGCCTTGGCTTCCACCGTCCCAGCCTGCCTGGTGACCACGCCTGGCCCGAGGGCTGGAGTCCCAGGAATTCGTGGGGTGCAGACTGACGGAGCCTGTGTGCTTGTGTTCCCCTCCAGGGTGTGGAGAGGCGACCAGGAGGGCAGTGGGAGGTGGGAGGAGGTGGATGGGGAAGTTGGAGGCCTGCAAACCACAAGCTTGAAACCATAAACCTCTCCTCAGGAGAAGGATGAGGCTTTCTCCTCTCATCAATAGCTCCAGTCTTGGAAACACACAGGGGCGGTTCTGCCCTGTCCTGTGGGGTAGCTGTGAGTCAGCATGGCAGTGAGAGACAGCACTCATCAGCCGTATGACCTGTCACCATTCTGGGCCTCTTCCTTCCCTATAAATGGGGATGGCCCCTTCCTGGTGGCATTGATGGGTGTGTCAAGTAGAGGAGCCTGGAGGAGGCCCTTGGGGAGGGAAGGAACTGCGCCTTCTCCTGGCCCTCCAGAACTTCTTGTAGTGGGCACCATCCAGGGACCCAAGCCAGCCTCCACCACCGTGGGGCAATTCTGACTCGGCTAACCCCAGGTGGTGTGGTGAGGCCTAGTCAGCACTGGTGTGCAGCCTAGTTAAAGCTGGCGGGCCAGACGCTTTGACCTGGAAGGCCTCGGATCACCCTTTTAATCTAAAGTAGGGGGAGGGGAAAGAGGCCAGGAGTCATCAGATGTGCAGGACTGAGAAAGCTCAGAGCCTTAAGACATGCCTGCCTTGCACTTGAGTCGGGTGGGCCCGCTGGGTTGTGGTTGCAGCTCTGTGGGCTCGGAGCCCGAGGTGCTGGAGTGGAGCTGCTGGCTGGGCTGCACTGTCCTGGGCTCAGTATTTCAGAAGCTTGGGTGTACGGTGGGAGTGGAGGCAGCGGGTGAAGCTTTATTGCATCATGGGTTTTTGTGTGTGTGTGGTTGTTTTTGTTTTGTTTTCCTTTATGGGTTTTTTTCTTTTTTATTAAATCACTTAGCTTTTTGAAAAAGACTGTCCAAGTGTTCAAAATAAATACAGGTCTGTCTCATTGAAACAAAGCAAAGCCCTGGTTGTTAGTAAGAATGAGAAAGGGCAGAGCAGCCAGTGTTGGTTCCCGTTGGAGCCTGGAACCAGCAGGAGTGTTGGTTTGCTTGGGCTCTCGGCTGTTTGGGGACACTGGGCTTTGTAAGAACTTCTTGAAGACGCACCCTGGGTCTTCTGAGGTCGAGGAAGGCACCCGGCCCGTCCGCTGGCTTCTAGTGGTGGCTTTTCTTTCCTAACTGTGGCAAACGTGATCTGATCAGCTGCCCAGGGCCAGAGTTGGGCATGCCATTCATCAGCATTCATTGTCCACCCCCTGTCCCCTAGAGATGGGACTGACACCCGACCCCAGCCGCTGTGCACTCACTGAGACGAGGATGAAGTGAATGAAGTGAATGAATTAAATTGGCCAGACTGTAGGTGTGATGTGTGTGCTGACCACGGCTGTAAAAAGTGATTCCCTGGAGCCCGGCCAGTCACGGGACCCTCAGGTTCCCCTGAGAAAGCAGCTGTGGAGCCCATCTCCACTCTCTGGGTCAGACCAGAACTCCCAGAAACGTTTCAGGGGCCAGTGCCTCCCCGTCCTCCCATCTGCGGCCTCTTAATGACGGTGTGGTTGTGACTGTTAGAGGTGCTGATGATTGTCACGTCTCTGGTTTGTAGGAGGAGATCCGGCCTCCAGATGGCAGATAACAGGTAAGGAAGGCTCCCCCCTCCCAAATCAAGCCATCAGCCTCAGTTGGGCATCAGGCTCCTTCCTCCCTCTCTCACTGGTGCTTGGAGGCAGGGCGCAGCTTCTGTTGTGGGGAGGGGACCCCATACAAGTCCCGAGCCAAGTTGTTCCTGGGAGGAGACTCAGACCCCAGTCTCCTGGGCTCAGTTCAGAGAGAGGGTTGCTTCTGGATTGTTGTACAGGGCAGGTGCAGCTCGCTCCTCTGACTCACTTGTTTGGGAAGCAGGTGTACTCTGGTGTCTCGGAGAGCTGGAAGCTGAATCTGGTCACCGCCTGGGCACTACTGCTTGCCTGTTGGCCAGGCAGCCGGGGTGCCACCCTCACAGGGCAGATGGGCTTTGAAGTGCCACTCTGATTTTTTAACCCTGCTTTTCTGACCTTGGTTTAGCTCTTCAGATGGGGCCCCTTCAGAGTCCACGGACGCCGCTAAACATGCAGGTAATAAAGGCAGGTGGGCTGCACCTGGAGGGCCTTTCTGAAACATTCGGTGACCTGGGGGAAGGTTGGCAGCAGACCCATTTTCCATTCACCCACGCATGTGCGTCACATGATTGCAGTCCTGGAAGCTGTTGTAACCATAGACCTGAAGCTCAGTTCCGCTGCAGGACCTTAGCAAAGCTAGGGCAGTTTAAACGCAGGGCGGCTCTTCGTTGTCAGAAAATGGCACACAGCCTCAGCCAAGACGGCCGTTTCAGCTAGCACGGCGTCCACCCTACCTATTGGCAGGCGCAGGTGTTGGCATCTTCATCTTGGTATTTCCTGAGTGGGCTTCTCAGCTCCCTTTCCCTAAAACAACTGTCAGTCACCTCCGGCCAGAGTGGCCTCCCCTGGCCTTGTTTTTAGACTGCCACTGTCAGGGGCCCCCCACCCAGGTGTTTGGGTGTGTACCCAGGGGCATCCAGTTATCTGTCCAGGAGGGGAGGCAAGTGGCAGGGCCGAGTAGCTGGGCCAAGTGGTTTCCACACCCAGCCTCGCAGTGGTTTGCGCGGCTCCCATGCTGCGGGCCTTGACTCTCCCTCATTCCTAGAAAAGCTCACGGACCAGGTGATGCAGAACCCGCGCGTGCTGGCAGCCCTGCAGGAACGACTCGAAAGTGTCTCTCACACCCCGTCAAGTTACATCGAGACGTGAGTCTGGCGGAGGGGTGGGCAGGCGGTGAGGGACACAGTGAAAACGTGCCTTCTAGTTCCTGGGGGTGAGGCCGAGTGCTGCTTCCGAGGCAGACACTGCCTGCTCTGTGGCAGCCCCTGGGCTTCCGGGAGGGAGCTCACTGTCCCGGAACTGGACTCGTCTCCTGGTCATGGAGCGCGGACTAGGTAGTGCACAAGAAGCCAACCTGTGGGCCGAGGGACACCACTTGTCTCCCAGGGTGCCTGGGCTCTGGTGGCTGGTATGCGGGAAGCGTGTCACTGTTGTTTCAAATAGCAGCAGGGCTGGCCCTGGAGAACAGGTTGCAACTGAGCTTCCAAAGAAGGAATATGCTGTCCACTTCAGGAGGACTAGCTATTGACAACCTCGCAAACGGTGGCCGAACACGTCCGAGAGGGGGCTGGAAGATGAGAGAGCACTCAGAATGAACAGGGAAGAGCTGCCTCTTCACAGCAGCGTCAGCTGTAGCGATGTTGATGCAGCAAAGCAAAGTTTGGGGGACTTTAACCCGCGATGAGCCACAACTCAAAATGAGAAGAAACAGCTGCACACGTTCATTAGTAGTCAGAACATGGATTGTACCAAATGTGAAGATTGTGAGTCAGGTGTGAAACGGAAAGTTTAAAGAGCCATATCCGAGACATTAGTGAGCTGAAATGGACGGGTATCAGCCATTTGAATCAGACAAGCATGTGCTTTCCTATGCCAAGAATGCCAGGTTTCCTGTGGCAAGAGGGCTGGTGTTGCATTCATTGCCAAAAAGGACAAACACTTCAAGATGTGTCTTCAAGTACAATGCTATCTCTGATATGGTAATATCTGTATACATACAAGAAAGACCAATTAATACCACTATTCTGATTTACCTGCCAACCACTATGGCCAGCGGTGGAAAGGTTGAAGAATTTTTACTAACTTTTTCTTCAGTCTGAAATTGATTAAACATGCAATCAAGATGCATTGGTAATTGTCGGTGAGTGGTCTGGGAAAATTAGAAACAGAAAGAATCGATAGTTGGAAGATAAGGCTTTGGTGGTGGAAAAAAAAGGAAATGGATAGAATTTTGTAAGAACTGTCTTCTTCATTGCAAGCATATGTTTCCAATGACATGAGTGGTGACTGTCCATCTGGACCTCTCCAGCTGAAGAAACACAGGGTCAAATGACACCTGGGGAAAGACGAGGGAGAAGCTTAGTATCAGCCAAAACAGGGCCACCTGTGGGACCAGACCACCATTGCTCATTTGCAAGTTCAGATTGAAACTGAAAAAAATTAAAAGAAGCCCATGAGAGTCCAAATAAAAAAATTGAGTATATCCCACTGGGATTTTGAGAAACAGCTCAAGGACAGATTGGACACCTAATCACTAAAGGCCCAATGAGTGGTGAGGTGACATCAAAAACATTGTCCCTGAAGAAAGCAGAAGGTCATTCAAAAGGCGGTGTGGATGTCAGAAGAGGCTGTGAGGCTTTCTCTTGAACATGTAGTAGCTAAAGCAAATGAAGGAGATCTATCATCAAGGAGCTGAACAGGAAACCCAGAAAGACAGCATTATAAAATGTGCAAAGCCCTGAGATTAGAAAACTGAAAGGGAGTGTGCTTAGCCTATCTCGAGCTGCAACAACCAAAGAAAAGAACCGAGCTGTGATACTGAAGGTTCTGTCAGGAAGTTGTCCACCACACGTTTGTCGGGCTGTGGTGGCTTGTGTGTTTCCGCGATGTGAAAGGTATGTCATGGATAGTTCAAACACCGGCAGGGTCACCCCAGAGTGAGCAGGTTTCAGCAGAGCTTCCAGCGAAGAACAGATTGTGAAGGAGGAGGCTGTCCACTTGAGAGGATTAGCCACTGTAAAGCCCTTTGGGCTGCATGGAAGCTTGTCATTCCTGAAAACCTGAGGAGCAGGAGCAGAACGCCATCGGATCTTGTGTCAGAGGTTGAGCCCCTCGGGTCAGAAGGCACTTCACTCAAGATGTGGTCGCCCCGAGTGACGTGGAGACAGGAAAGCCTGTAGGAGGAAAGCCTTCAGGACCTCTTTGCTGATGGGGGAAGATTCCAAATGAGAAGAAATAGCTGCAAACATCAGTTAATTGGAACGTGGAATTAATCTAGGAAAACTGGAAGTTGTTAAAATGGAGTGGGATGCACAAAAATCGATATTCCAGGCGTCAGTGAGCTGAAATGGACTGGAAGCCGTTTTCAATGAGGAAATCACAGGCCACCATTTCTGGCGGTAGCACAGGAGCGGGAACCATGGTTCTTGAAGGAAGAAGTTGAAGTTGCCCTGGCAGCAGGAATTGACGGCATACCAACGGAAGCGTTTCAACAAGCTGAGGAGCACTGGAAGCACGCTTACACGTCTATGCCAAGAAATCAGGAAGAGGGCTACTTAGCCAGCCAGCTGCAAGAGATCTTTATTTCCGTGCCCATTCTAAAGACATTGGACCCGCCAGAAATGTGGATGTTAACGCACAGTACCACTAATACCAAACTCACTACCATCGAGTTGGTTCTGATCCGTGGAAACCCTGTAGGGCACACGGTAGATCTGTGGTTTTCTGACACCGTAACTCCATAGCAGTAGAAAGCCTCGTCTTTATCCCTCGGAGCAGCTGATGGCTGCTAACTTCTGACCCTGTGGTTAGCAGCCCAACACGCAACCACTCTGTCACCAGGGCTGGTTCACTTAGTTTAAAAACTGTTGCAGCAGTGCACCAGCAGGGAGCGCCCAGAAATCCGAGCCTGATTCAGCAGGGACCTGGATTATGAGGGATGACACTGCAGAAAGTAGAGGATGCCAGACAGATTCCCTTGTATCCACTGACGACGCACAGGCATGGGACTCTGGATCACAGCAAACCATGAAAAAGGAGAATTCCAGAAACTGCATTATGCTCACGCAAAGCCTGTATATAGCAGCAGTTGTACAAACAGAACAAGGGAATACTGTGGTTTAAAATCAGGAAAGATGTGTGCCAGGGTTGTATCCTTACCACACTAATTCTATATGCTGAGGAAATCCTGGAAGCTGGACTATCGAAAGGACATGGCATCAGGACTCCAGAAACTCAAACTCAATGCCATCAAGTCAATTCTGACTCCTAGTGACCCTTCGGACAAGGTGGAACAGGCCCTGTGGCTTTCTGAGGCCAAGTCTTTACAGGAGTGGAAAACCTTGTCTTCCCAAGGAACTGGCTGCTGGATTTGAACTGCTGACCTTACAGGATTGGTGGAAGGCGTATTAACAAGCAAGGATTTACAGATGATGTAACTTTGTTTGCTGAAAGCCAAGAGGACTTGAAGCACTTACTGATGGGGCTCCGAAAACTACAGCCTTCGGTGTGAATTACACCACTCATGTAGCAGCAGACCCACCACCAGGACATCTTCCGATCCCAGCCACCCTGTACATAGTATAGGACCTAGCAGAACCTCCCCTTTGGGGTTTCTAAGCAAACTGCTTCGTCTTTCTCCCCAGGAGCTGCTGCCAGGTTCAGACAACTGACCTTGGTAGTTAGCAGCTTGTTGCTTGACCTGTGCCACCAAGACTTGTAACTCAGTGTAGAGGAAACCCAGACGCTTACCTGGACCAGTGGATAGCATCCCAAAGACTGACGCTTGTCAAGGACTTCGTTTTCTTTATCCATACCCTACACTCACGGAAGCAGCAGCCAGGAAGTAGAATGGCGCCTTGCAATAACAAGTCTGCTGCACAGACCTCTTTAAAGTGTTTTAGGACCAACCTGTCACTCTGAGGAATGAGGTGTCCCTGACCCCAAAACCAGACTCAGTTCTGACTCAGAACGACCTTACAGGACAGAGTAGAATTTCCCTTGTGAGTTTCTCTATGAGACTAGAAGCCTCATCATTCTCCCATGGCGTGGCTGGTGGTTTTGAACTTTTGACCTTGACACTTGGGTTTGTCCTGCCGCTTCTCTGACAAGGGTTCTCAGACACTTGCTTTGTGGGGCAGTTTTGAGAGCTGCTTAAGGATCTGATTGAGTCGCTGGAATTCAGTGATGCTGGGAGCTGTGTTTGCTGGGTTTCTGGCTCAGGAATCTGGTGGGTGGTGTGGGCTGACCCCTCCATGTGACACACACAGCCTGGCTGGCTATTGAGCTGCCGGCAGGGAGAAGTGCTTTGTGGGCGTGTAGTCAGGGCCCTGCATGGAGAGGTGCAGAGGGCAGGCACATGGGATGATGTGGTGGTCCGCTTCTCCTAGAGTGCTTTTAATTTCTACCACCCCAGGAAGGGTTGTGGCCCTAAGAAACTGAAATCATGTCGTTAGCGGAGGAAGGGGTGTATTGGCGTGTCTGTCCCTTGCTGGACCCTTGCTCTGCCTTGTCCTTTCTGGGCTGTCGGCCGTGGTCTCTGGAGCTTCTGTGCTCAAGCTGGAGGCACAGCCCCTGCTACTGTCCAGACTGACAGGCGCAGGAGCGGTGCGGGGGGGCTGCCCTGGGCCTTGCCAGGGGTTAAGAGCTGCTCTGTAGGGTTTCTGAGGCCGCACCTATCTACGGGAGCAGACAGCCTCGTCTCTCTCCCATGGAACAGTTGGTAGATTCAAACCACTGACCTTGTGGTTAGCAGACCACAGATGAACCCAACAGGCCACCAGGGCGCCTCACTTGGTGTGTGCCCTTATGCTAGAACTGGGGATGCCCGCCCCACGTGGGTGGCTGGGGTTTTACCTCCAGTGGGTGATGTGACCGAGTCATTGCTCCCACGAGCTGACTCCAGAAGAGAACGCGTTTCTTACTAGGGTCAGTCCACGTGGCTTCTACGGCCGCCAGCTTTTAACCCTATTCATTTAAACCACTAATCCCATAAACACTGACTATTTCCTTGGGATACATTCTTAGAAGTAGACTCACTAGCCCCGGAGAACCTTTCCCATGCTGCCTCACCCGGACCCCTCGGGAAACAGAAGGCAGTCTGATGCAGTGGAGGGAGAGGTGGTTCTTTCTTAGTCATCCCTCGCCCCTCCTCTCTCTGGGGTGACTGAGTGAGTGTTGACAGCTCTCCTGCAGGAAGGCTACTGTAACTTCCACACGGACCACTCGGCTTGCCTTATTGCCATTGTGATGGGCGCTGTGTGGTTTCTCTCACAGCTTACCTAAAGCAGTAAAAAGAAGAATTAATGCCCTGAAGCAGCTTCAGGTGAAGTGTGCGCATATAGAAGCCAAGTTCTATGAGGAAGTTCACGACTTGGAACGAAAGTATGCTGCTTTATACCAGCCCCTCTTCGACAAGGTAGGTGGGCCAGGCCAGGGGCCGGAGCCATTTATTGGACATTGGCCATCGTATAAGGGTCCAGTTTCCAAATCTGGGGATTCACAGACGTGGGTGGTATGAGTGTGACGGGGCCGTCGTGGTTGCGCGAGTCTGATAGGCCACCGTCTTGTGCAGAGAAGAGACTTCGTCAGTGGTGACGTGGAGCCGACCGATGCTGAGTCGGAGTGGCCCAGCGAGAGCGAGGAGGAGGACAAGCTGGCTGTAAGTGGCGCGCTCAGACTGGCAGTGCTCAGAAACGGGAGCGCTTGGGGATGCACTCAGGTGGGCGCTCCTTCCTCACCGGGTGGGCGGGGCTCGGAGCAGCCACTGTGTGTGCAAGCCTCGGGGCCAGGTGGACAGAGACCCCCACCTCGGCCAAGGTCTTGGGGAGGGGTGGCCGGGCCTTGCGTCAAGGTGCTGGGAGCCCTGTCCTGTCCTGCGAAGACCGATCAAGGTGTAGGGCATTGGCCCTGTTCATAACCTGTCGGCAGAGCAGGTTCCATTTCCGTGCCAGAGACAGTCCTGGGAGGAAGGAGGCTGACAGGACTTGCCAGTCTGACTTCATACCTGGGAGACAGGTAGCTCGAGAGTGAGGCTCTTCTGCCCTTCACCCAGAAGGCCACCTCAGGCAGGGAGCATGTCGCTCCATTTGGTTGAGATGGCACATGTTTTCTGTGCGGGTGTATGTGCGTGTGTGCCTTACCTTGCGATTGGGCTATGGCTATGGGGTCCTCTGGCTGTGGCCACACCTGGTGGGAGGCGGTCCTTACAGCTGACTGAGGACAGTGCTTGGCTGGGTTTTGTTGCTGAGCATCCTGCTGCAAGCAAGCATTGTAACCACCACCACCCGTCTCCCCCAGTTTTATTCCAAGGTGGGGTTCTTGTTTGGGAGGAGGAGCGGCGTTCTCCTCCCCTTGATTTGAAACCCCTCTCCCCACGGTGGGGAGTGTGCGCCCCAGCTTGGAGCCAGGAACAGGCAGCCCTCTTAGTCCTCAGCCCAACCTGGTGGCGAGCCCTCCAGGACTGGTTTCCTGAGACTCATCTGCAGGCTCACTGGGCCGTGTGTCCAGGACCTGGAAGTGGTCGACAGGGTAACTCGGTGAATCTCTACCTTGGGAGCCACCAAGGGGGTAGCTTCCTTTTGACAAGGGTTTTAATTTCACACACATCCCTTTTTTTAAGGGAGACATGAAAAACAAAGTCATCGTAGCAGAAAAAGAAGCTACAGCAGCCATCCCCCCCTCCACCGAGGAGCCAGACCCCAAGGGCATCCCAGAGTTCTGGTTCACCATCTTCAGAAACGTGGACATGCTGAGTGAGCTTGTGCAGGTAATCCCGCTGGAGCCCAGCCGCGCCACCCTGGGTTTTGTGTGAACTCTTACCAGTAGGGTGCGTGAAGCGTGTTCATAGGTGGGTGGCAGGGCCAGGGGCCGTTCTTGGGCCGAGGACTTTGGTCCATCCATTGCCTTGACCCTGCCCGACAGCGGCTCACTGGGTACCACCTGCTGCTGTGGTGGCGTGACGTGTCTGAATATGGCTCTTCCACCCATGTCTCTGTGGCTCCTATTAAGTGATTGGGTGGGACCATGCAAACCGGTCATGTGTAACATGAATAGAAGGGACTGGTCAGGTTTTGTCACCACTCCCGAGCTATAAGGATGAGCGTCTTAGAAGTAGCCGCAGAGAGAAACCCCAAGGACCTTTGAAGAGTTCCTTCAAGATCTCTGTCTAATGTGGCACAGGCCACTGAGGCCACATGCATCACAGACTCCAGGAGCAGCACCGAGACGACGTGGTGCCTCTCATCTGGCCCAGGCTAGGGGACTGCGGGACTGGGTTCTTGCTCCACAGAGGCAAAGGCAAGGGACCGGGAGTCTGAGAGAAGCAGACCAGAGAGAGACCTGGCTGCTGGCTAACGAGACCAATGACCCTATCCTTACTGTTTGCTGATTCTGGCTTACAGAAACCTGTTGATTTCCCTCGTCAACTGCCTTAACCATGAGTGTTTGTGAATTTTGTGTGGGTATTGCGATTGTGTCAGGGTTCTCTAGAGAAACAGAACCAGAAAGCTAATCATTTTATATATATTTATACAGATAGATAGATATGTAGCATAAGAAATAAACAGTTGTGGCAAAGAAAGCTGATGGTGCCCGGCTATCAAAAGATATAG